TTCCCTTAAGTCAAAAGAAGAGGCATACTCTTTATTACCTTTTGTGATAAAGATATTATTTTCCCAATTACCATGCCATCAATCCTACTGGTTTATTTTTGTATATCCTTTTATTGGTACATTTTTGGTGTACAATATAATGACATTCATCATTGGAAATATGCACCTTTACATACTCTCTTGGTTCTTATTTTTTCCCCCTCCCCTGCCCTCCCTTCAACCCCTCCATCCCTCCCTATTTACAAAGACTTGGTTTTCTTTTTTTCATTTTTTCATATTAATTCCATTCCCTTTTTTTCTTTCCTCTACCCTTCCCACTTCCCCTTCCCCTTTGCCCCTTTTCTTCCAATTTCACATTATCTATTATACCTTTTAGTCCTTATTTACACTTTCAGTTTCTCACACTAGAGAAACTATTTGGTATTTACACATGTGTGTCCTATTTATTTCACTTAAGAGTATCACCTCAGTGTGCATCCATTTAATCCTACTGGGTTTGTTCTGACCTCATCCTTCTTACATGGTGGTAGAATAACTTGTACTTTTTTGAATCCTATTTGGGGATGAGAAAGAAGGCTTGAAAAGAAGTTAGAAGCCAGGTCAAGTTAGGAATTTTAGATAAAGTCTGAAATTCTGAATTCAGAAGGAAAGAGAGAGGAAATTACAGAGAAGAACATGATGATTCATGTCACAGGGCCACTCTCTAAATGGAGTATGATTTCAAAATGGGCGGAGTGTGGGTGAGGAGTGGAGAGAAAATGTTTAGGAAATCAGAATCATGACAGTGTCATTAATGAGCTTCAATGAGAGGAGAAGCAGCATGAAAACCTGGCAGAGGGGCATAAGACATAAAACAATGGTCTTTGTCTTAGTCAGCTCAGGCTGCCACCATAACATACCACAGGTTGGGTGGTTTAACAGAAATTATTTTCTCTGACTTTTGGTTTGAAGTCCAAGATCAAGGTTATGTTAGCGCTGGTTTCTAGTGAGGCCTCTCTTCCTTGCTTGTAGAGAGCTGTCTTCCTGGTGTGTCCTCATATGACCTCTTCTCTGTGTGCATGCATAGAGAGAGGGATTGAGGGATGGAGGGGAGGAAAAGAGAAAGAGAGAAGAGGGAGAGAAGAGAGAGAAGAGAGAGGGATCTGGTATGTCTTTTTCCTCTTATAAGGCACTAACACTATGATATTGTAAAGGTTCATGCTTATGACTTCATTTAACTTTATTTTTTTAATGGCCTTATTTCCATATATAGTCATATTGCAGTTTAGGGCTTCAGTATATGAAATTTGTGGGAAGGACTCAATTCAGATGATTACAGTGTCCATTGTAGCTCTTGTGAATTGTCTTTAAGGGTGAATTGTCCTTTTCGGAGGGCATGAGATGAAGGGCCACTGGTTAGGGCCATCTGAGTTCCAGGCATTACTGATTCATCATCTTGTTTGACTCCAGCACAACCCTGTCGTAAGAGAAGATGGAAGGCTCACAGATGTTGTGAGCACTCAGATGGTAAGGGGTCAAGGAAACATTCCAGTTGAAAATTTTAAGCTTATTCTGCCTTTGTACTGGAGGAAGCTTTGCTCTGAAATCTTGTCAATTTTCTAGGACTATATCTTGAAGCCTTGAGCTGTCAGGAAGACTGCTTAGCAGGCCCATGAGGGACGAGATCCAGGAAGATCTCTGAATGGAGTAATGACATGATTAAAGTTGTAAAGTTGCACTTTGCGGAGGTAGATATGTAAGTGTGTGGGAGTGACTGATAGGAGAAAGAAACTTGAGGTCAAGTAAAAGAATGTTTCATAGTCCTGTTGAGAGATAATGATAGGCAGCCAAGGGTGATATAGAAAGTGCTAGATGCCAATGGTACTGTGAAAGCAGAGTGAGGGTTTTGATAAATGATTGAATGGAGGTCAGGGGGTAAAGGGAAGAAGTCCAGAATGAGGCCAAGGTGGTAACCCTGACAAATGAATCTAATATCCCCAAAACTTTGCTGACCCCATTCCATCCCCTTCTCAGGTGGTGGGGGAGGGCCTCAGGACTGCCTGATATGTCTTAAAGTCCAGTGTCCCCCTTTAGGAAAGGGATAGTGGAGAGGATTTCTTAAATTTAAGATTAACCTAATTCAGTTAATCATTTTTGATAATTATGTCCTTAATAATACAGCATTAGGCTTAATAATTTGTCAAATGAGGTGATGAGGGAGAAGCTAATGGCTTAGGACAGGTCGGCTGGTAGAGTTAAGACAGCTTTTTTGAGTAATCTGTATTTTAGGAAATAAACATTTAGTTTCAGATTTAGACAATTTTAGGGACGTTTTGATTAAAAGTGGACTGTTAGCTCCATCAGACTTTGAACAGAAAGAAGTAAGTCTGTAAACAACCTGTTTTTTCCGGTTTCCTCTTCTTAATGAATGGCATCCACCCAGCTACTCAAGTCCCAAATCTAGGAGTTATCCTTGATTACCCTCTGTCTTATTTCCCTCATTAAATCCATCAACAAATCTTGTCTATCTTGTTTGAAAAACTTACCTCCAATATCTACACTTGCCTTTGTCTCACCTACTACCACCCTAAACCAAGCCACTGTCCTGTCTTACCTGGCTGTGGAGATAGCTCCCACTTGGTTTCTCTGTTTTATTTTCTGCCCCAACAGTTCACTTTCTGAACAATTTAGAGCAACAGTTAACAGCAAATTAGATCCTATTCCTCTCTGCTGAAAACCCTTAATGGCCTCCCATCACCCTGAGAATAAAATCTACTCTTCCTATCCTGGCTTACGATCATTTCCCTGACACAGCTCCTCCTGACTTTTCAGCCTCTCCTCACACTGTCCTCCTCCTTGCCTGCCATACTCCAGCCACCTTGGCCTTTCTGCTTCTCAACCATGGATGCTTTTCCCATTTGGGGAAGTGGGATCTTTGCTCTGTTGAAATATTTTTGGTCTGACATTCATGGGTGACTTGTATCATTTAGATCTCAATTTAAAGGTCACCTCTACCAAGAGACCTTATCTGACTCTTTCACCTAAAAACTGTATTATAACCTCTTTGTTTTATTCTCTTCACAGCACTTATCCCTCTCTGGTCTTCCTTTTTGTGGTTGTTTATTTATGTTTACTGCACTTCAATATAAGCTTCCTGTAAGTAGAGATTTTGTCTGTGTTATTCATAGCTGAATCTCCCATATCTAGGATGCTATTTGACACTTTTAGTAGATAGAGTACCAAGTTAATATTAATTGTGTGAATGATTGAATGCACTTACACCACCGTCTCCTTTTCATCATTCCTAGACCTCTTTTTTTTTTTTTGGTACCAGGGATCGAACTTGGGACCTTCCGCTTGTGAGGCAGGCAGTGGAACCACTGAGCTAACTCCCGAGCCCTAGACCTCTTTTTGATTGGGCCTTCAGGGATCTCTCTCTGCTTTGACTTGGCATTTGATACTGAGCACCACATGCCTTATATTTGGGAGAGCAGCTGATATAGTTAGGAAAATTTCTTGGAGTAATTTGTCTTTTGGTAAATATATATTTTGTTTCAGATTTGGACCATCTAGGAACAATTAAAAAAAAAAGCCTCATACCATCTGCTTAGCAAAAAGTAAAATAATTATACAAATGGCCCCCAGCCTAGTAGGATTCAACTTAACAATATTTTAACCTTATGATGGCATGAAAGCTTATTGATGCAATCATTTTGTTTTCACTTTCAGTGTGGTATTCAATAAATTATATGATATATTTAATACTTTACTATAAAATGAGCTTTATGTTACGTGATTTTTTCCAACTGTAGGCTAATGTAAGTGCTCTGAGCACTTTTAAGTTAGGTAGGCTGAGATATGGTGCTCAGTATGTTAGGGGTATTAATGCATTTTTGATTTATGATATTTTGTGTTAACTATGCATTTATGGGGGCACAACCATATTGGAAGTTGAGGAGCATCTGTACTTGTTTCTCACTTATCAAATGCTGTTGTAGTTTCTCCTCCTGGATATAGGAGGACTCGAACTCTCTGGAGTTCTTTTGGACCTCAGATGTAATTGAGTTGTTGGCACAGTATACAATTGGCCAATGTGAGGTCCCCTCTTATTTCATTGGATATTTTCTTCTGACTCTTAGTACCATTCTCCTTTCCCTTTCTGGGCTTCTACTCTTGGTTATTTAATCTATGACCTTCCACTGTGTCTTTTAACATGTATTTAGAAGTATGTATATCCTTGAAAAATGCAGTGTTTTGTACATATTTCTGTACAATCTCTAGGTCCTTTGTAAAAACAAATGCTAGTGTTTTCTCAAAAATAAGACCTAACTAGAAGTAAAAAACACTAGCCCCAGTTGGCCTATCTTTCCTTTACCTGCTGTTATAGATTAGCCACCAAGCAAGAGAACAGTAAGTTATAATCTTCTGCACCACACTTGCCATCACCATGGTAATGACCAGCTATTAATTACAGCTGATGTTTATTTTCTGGTACGGGCTTATTTTCAGGGAAACATGGTGTATGGATTAAAAGAACTATTCTTATTATCATCTCTTGTTACTAAGGAGTACAAGGAATCACATAATTTAACAGCTAGAAATTACTCAGAAATTATCAGTTTCATGCCCCCTTTATTTGACAAGGTGATAGAGCCTCAGAGGCTTCTTTTAAATGATTTGTTTAAAAATATTGATTATATTTATTAAAAGCCCCTATAGGACAAGGCCTTAAGCTACCAGGCATGCTGAGGATATGGAGGTTAACGGCACAGGCCCTGCCTCCGAGTAGACAGCCTTAGGGGAGTCCTAGTAGGCTATAGGGTTTTCATATCTTTTTCACTATTTGACATTGGCCTCACAAAAGACCCACGGATGATTTGATTTTTGATTAGTCACGTTCCCAGCTGGGCTCTCCTCTCTCCTGTCCTTATTCTGGCTAACCTGTCTTTCTTGCTTTGCCCTAACCTGAGTGTCCTGGTCAAGTATAGAGTCATCACCTGACTTCATCCTTCTGTTTCCAGATTGGAGCCTCTCTCTTCGCCAGTAACATTGGAAGTGGTCATTTTGTGGGGCTAGCTGGGACAGGAGCAGCTGCAGGCATTGCTACTGGAGGCTTTGAATGGAACGTGAGTAACATAAGCACCACTGTGTCTTAGGGGTGGAAGAGTTTTTACTAGTTTGTTTTTTGTTACTGTAATGATATACCTGAGGCAAGCTAACTTTATAAAGAAAGCAGGCTATTTAGCTCATAGTTTTGGAGGCTATAAGTCCAAATAGCATGGTGAGGTCTATTGTGAGCCCCTCTTGGCTGTATCACCTCCTGGCAGATAGCAATGGCAGGAGCATGTGTGAGAGGAAGAGATCACATTGCCCCAAACAGGAAAAGCCAGAAAAGATGGGTGAGGCCGGGCTCAGGCTGCAAAAAACAATTTAAATTAGTACATGTTTGCAGAACATAATGATCACATTCATCATGGGAAATTTGTTCATGTACATAATACATCTTAATTCTTTTTTTGTGTGTGTTTTTTGAGACAGGGTCTCACTATGTAGTTCAGGCTGGCCTTAAACTCACTATGTAGCCCAGGTTGGCCTCAAACTCATGGCAGTCCTCCTGCCTCAGCCTCACTAGTGGTGGGATCACAAATGCTGGTAGGGACTTGGTGCATGTACACAGCATTTCACCCCCCTTTAATGTCTTTTCCCTCCTCGTTACCCTTTATGCTGCTCTCCCTCCCTCCATGGCTCAGGATTTTATAACAACCTTTGCTCCGAATGACCCAAGGGTTTCACTGAACTACCTTAATCTCTTCCCTGAGCAGTAGCCTCAAGGGCTCAAGGACTTCCCATTATTCCCCACCTCCTAAAGGTCTCACTATCTCCCATTACATTAAAGACTAAGCCTCCAATGCATGACAGATCCACTGACATGGTAATAATATTTTTTTTCCTCCCCCTTGGTGTTAAACAGACAAGGCCTTAGTACTCTCCTAACCATGTTATTGCTGTTATTATTATTATTCTCAAAATGATATTTTACTCCTTGTAAATCAGGGAAGATGCAAAGGAAAACTCATAGCTCTGGCTGGGGCCCCAGGGTTGTGATGTTAGTGAGCAGACTCGTGTAGGGAACAGGGAAAGGGGACGTTACTAAGAACTTGGCAGTAAGTCCTAGTCTCCTTCGAGCCAGGGCAGCACAAGGCGAATTAATTTATTATACAGGAAAGGTAGAAAAAAATGAGACTTTGAGAAGAAGCTGAGCTTTGGGTCTGATCAGTGCTGCTCTGGGCAGCAAAGACGAAAGCCCCCAGTTTACCACACCTTTTATTCAGTACTCAGTACATCGGGAGAAACAAATGTAACAAATGACTTGCAGAGAGTTCAGTACATCCAGCATAAACAACGTGTAACAATCCAAGAACAATGAAGAACTGAGTAGATGAAGATTTTGTTCCTCTCAGGATGTCTTTAGCTGGTGTAATCTTGTCCTGGAGCATCACAGCATCACCGGATCATTGAGGTCTCAGTTGTGACCAGGGGCCAAAATGGAATTATGTCTCAAAATGCCATAGCTGGCCTGTAGGCAGGAGAACTAGGTCTAATCGAATGATTTTTCCCTAAAATTATGCAGCATTGCTTCGACACTCATGGGCTAGGCCATTTGGGCAGTAAAAACTTCCTTTAATCTCTAATTCCCACTTAGGTAGTTGGGAACAACAGAGTGACAGCAACCACCACAAAAAAGTATTGGGTGATTTTCTGGGCTAAAGTTTCTCCTGATTTAAATCTATCTCTTGTTTTGATTTCAGGCACTGGTTTTGGTGGTTGTGCTGGGTTGGCTGTTTGTCCCTATTTACATTAAAGCTGGGGTAAGTATCTGCTCTGTTATTCCATTTCTCACTGGTAAATACAAATATGGGCTTGATCATTCTGGAAGTTAGAGGAAACTTTATGGGATAAATGACAGGGACCTGTGAGTTGCCTTTCACTCCTATGTTGTAAAATAGTTTCTGACTGCATACAGGGGAATTAAATAATTCCCCTGATTCTTTTCAGTCCAGGCTCATGACTCATCCCTCTGAGAAGGTCCCCTAAGAAATCTCACACTATTCAGATTCCTCTGAAGCATCTCATCCCATTACTTTGGGTGTGTCCTTGTGCTGCACTCCTATGAGTTTGCTCTTGCCATACCAATGATCTCCAGCCTCTGCCCCTTTATTTATGTACTTCAGCAGCTCTTGTTTGCTGAGCATGCAGCTAGTACTCAGCTATCAATTGCTCTCATGACTATGTCTCTCTGAGGTTTTACATAGGGTAACTTTACTATCACCTGTTCAATGAGACATAATGAGGACCTCCTATTTGTAAATTTATACATTGGGGACTAAAAGCAGCATGGGAGAAGCATAAGGCAGATTCTACATCTTTTGGAGGGTCACAGATTACTGGTGACATGTGTATAAGGACAATGGACTCAGGCTGGAGGGAGCAAGACAGGAAGTATGGTTGAAATTTGCAAAAAGAAACTGGGAGAATGTTTAAGCAGGCCTGCAACTACAGTCCTTGGCACTGCCTGTGTATAGACCATAGCAGAAGTCACATTCAGTCTGACCAACTTGTTTGGTGCCTTGGAAAGATGCTACCATTTCCTTGATGTCTCTAGGTGCTCTGTATAGGAATTTATCACTAGAATATCTATCTATCTATCTATCTATCTATCTATCTATCTATCTATCTATCATTATCTATCTATCATCTATCTATCTATCTATCATCTATCTATCCATCTGTCCCCTCCTCCTCCAGGGCAAGAATCTACCTTTTTAGTTATGTCCAGTCATATGTACATTAAAAAGCATGTGTTTACTGGGCACCTTCTACGTACTGGAATAACATCCAGCTACACCTATAGTGCTAGGGCATGTGAGATTAGAATGAGCAGGTGGCTGAAGATCAGTGATCATGGGGGTTACTTTGTGACTTCCCAGATCAATAAAGGTTATGAATCCTTGGTCACACTTCTGTGGTTCTGACATCAGGATATATCCAATTTTTCTGCCAGCTCTGGGCCCTGTCACTCTGACTGTTGGTGACCTCTCTTTCATCCCATACAGGTAGTGACAATGCCAGAGTATCTGCGGAAGAGGTTTGGAGGCAAGCGGATCCAAGTCTACCTTTCTGTTCTGTCCCTGTTGCTCTACATTTTTACCAAGATCTCGGTGGGTACACTACTCTGGGGGCTGGGCACTGGCTGTTTGAGAAGCCACCCACTCTCTTTCTCCAGCACATGTTGGTCCAACAAGAGGCAGTTCTGTGCATCACTATGAACTTGGTCCTTTAAGCCTTCTTGCTCCTTAGGGTAAAGTCCCCTTTCATGCATCAAGGAGTCAGTGTGGTACAGTGGAATTTCTTGTTCTTGGTGGTGCAGGCTGAAAACATAATAGGTTTATGAAGATTCAGGGAAAACTGTTTTTAAGAGAAAATTAAAAAGGAGTTAGGATATCATCTGATACAGTAACCCACTACTGGGTATATATGCAAAAGAAATGAAGTTAGTATGTCAAAGAAATAGTTGCATTCCTGTGTTTATTGCAGATGATTCACAATAGTCAAGATATGGAATCAACTTAAAGGCCTATAATTGAGTGAATAAAGAAAATGTGATACACTCACAGTGGAATACTATTCAGACTTTAAAAAAGTAGAAAGTTATTATTTGTGACAACATGGATGAACTGGAGGACATTATATTAAGTGGAATAAGACAGATGCAAAAAGACACAAATACCATCTGGTCTCATACATGGTATTCAAAAAAGTTGAATTTATATAAGTAGGAAATAGAGTTGTAGTTACTAAAGCTTGGGGTGAAAGTGTAGGTTGGGGAAATTTGGTTAAAAGGTAGAAAATCTTAGATAAGTAGGAGAAATTAGTTCAAGAGGTCTATTGTACAACATAGTGATTACAGTTACTACCAATGGATTGCAATTTGAAAATTGCTGAGAGATTTGTTCTCACCACAAAAAAGTATGTAAGGTAATGCATATGTCAGTTAGCTCAACTGAGGCATTCTACAATACATACATATTTCAAAACATCAAGCTATGTACAATAAATAAATACAATTTTTATTTGGCAATTTTAGGGATACCTAAGGGCTGGTCACAACCCTAAAGCAGTCATGGGCCTTTGTCCTCTGTCAGGTCAAAAATCTGAATCTTTGTGATATTTATGATGCCTTTAAACATGGACAATAAGTGCCAACTCTAGGAAGGACCTCTGAGACTTCTTTTATGAACAGTGTCTTAGTCTGGTTCATGTTACTATAGCTTAATACCATAGACTGGATAATTTATAAAGAATAGAAGTTTATTTAGCTTGTGTTTCCAGAGGCTGGAAAACCTAATAAGTTCAAAGGGCTTGCATCTGGTGGAAGCCTTCTTGCTATATCATGACATAGAAGGAGGCCTCACATGGCAAGAGAGAGCAAGTATCAGCTCAGGTCCCTCTTCCTCTTCTTACAAAGAAGCCAGTCCCATGATGCCTTTATCTAACCCCAATTATCTCCCAAAGGCCCCACCTCCAAATACCATCAACATATGAATTTGAGTATTAAATTTCCACTTGAATTTTGAAGGGGACATTGAAGCTATAACAACAGGGAAATAAAAACCTTGGGAGAGGAAAGTACTCCCCAAAATCCTAAATCAGGACTAGAACCCGGCCTCTGTCTCTTAGTTTGCTGTCCTTTTATCACTGCATGAGCCACTTTGTATTATCTGAGAATCACTTCCCTGGGCCTTTAGTTGCTAACTCTTTGAGGGGTATTTGTTCTCTATAAACCCAACCACTGGGGCTGTCCCTCTGCAGTTTAGTGTGCTGTCTCTGCTAACTTGGACCTACAGGCTCCAACTTGCAGAGCTGAGATTTCTTAGGCATTGGCTGACCACTAGGGTGCTTTTGAGAGCTGGGAAGAGCTCTTGACTGGTCCATAGTCCTTGTATTCCGTCTTCACTTTTTCTTCCAGGCAATGTTCAAGTTAGTTCTTCATGACAGTAAAACAAAACAAAGTAAATAAACAAACCACAAAACCAATCAACCAACCAACCAACCAACCAACCAACAAAAAACCCCAGCCTCCCCAAAATCCAGGAAACCACTCAAGTTCTAAGATACTTCCTTGACAGTCCAAAGGATGGTGGGAAGAGAAAACTTGCTTATAGGGTTTTGTTGAGATGCTTTTTTATCCCCAAAATTATTGTCATCCTGATTTAAAGCAAGTGGGAAAAAAAAGAAAAGAAATGTGAATGATAAGGTATAAGAAAGAAAATAGGACTTTGGCAAGAAAACTATTGAGGAGAACAATTGGAAGAAGCTGAGCCTCTGAACTGTTCTGTCGCTCTCTAGCAGGTGACCTGGAGCAAATGGTATAAGCTCTTTAGAGCTCCCTCTTTCATAAATAAGCTGGGATCTATAATTCCTGCCTGGTTTAACTTGCTGGGTGGTGGAAAGGATCAAGCGAATTTATCATAAAGTGTTATTGAAATGTAAGAGGTGATGAAGATGAACATGGCTGATTGAAAGTCCTCCACTCTTTCTAAAGTTGTCTGGGTTACTGTAGGGCAGAGATAGAAGTGGCATTTTTTGATATCACATAAGGAGGAGCTCCAGCTATTCCCCTTTCCAGCCTTTATACAGTACTCATTGCTCTGTCAAAAGGAGTATCACTGGCTGTGGTCAGTTTTCTTCCTTGTCCTTCCCTATTCAGCACCAAAGGTGAGGTCAGGCCATTCTCAGCACTTTGCAAAAGATCTATCCTTATATCTGAGTTGGGTTGGATCTGAAATGAGCATTCTACTCTAGTTAGGTACAGTGCTGAAGAAACAGTTGCTAGTGCTTTTATTTTCCTAAATATTTAAAGTTCAGACAACAATATTAACTAATAGTTTGAATTTTTATCATGAAAAATTTCAAACATAATCAGAGATAGAATAGGATAAGTAGAACTTGCAGACCTAATACTGATCTTTTGGCTTTAAGATTTGTCAAGGTGTAGGGGCTGGGGTTTTAGCTCAGTGGTTCCGATGCCTGCCTGGCAAGCACAAGGTCCCGAGTTTGATCCCCGGTGCCAAAAAAACCAAACCAAAACCAAACCAAAACAAAAAGATTTGTCAAGGTTTTCCCATTCTTTTTTTTTTTTTTTGGTACCAGGGATCGAACTCGGGACCTTGCGCTTGCGAGGCAGGCAACGGAACCACTGAGCTAAATCCCTGGCCCAATATTTTCCCATTTTTGATTCATTTATCCCTGTTCAATTTTTAAAAGTGTCTTTCTAATCCAAATCATAGTGATCATATGATTTCACCATCAATTCTTCAGAATTCAACTTCGGCGTTTTAAAACAATAACCATTGTGCTATTATCTATTTTTTAATTCATTAAGTTGATTGGTACATGTTAGGTATACAATATGATGACATTCATCACTGGGAATTTGTACCTTTACATGATATGTCTTGGTTCTTATTTTTTTCCCCATTCCCGTGCCCTTCTTCAATGCCTACACACTTCCCTATTTACAAAGACTTTGTTTCCATTTTTTCCTTCTCTCATATTTTTTCCTTTCCCTTCTTTCCTTTCCCCTACCCCT